AATCTAAGCAACCACCTGTCATTCCCCCTATCTGCCTACATGCATCCCCATGTCTGCCTACCTTCCCAAACCTAAGCAACCCAAACAGTTTTCCCCCTTTTGGCATCATAAAAAAGAGGTACAGTAAACCAGCATAACTAGTAAGTTTGCTAAGTAAGATCATATCCAGGGGTCACACCAATATGGTGAGAAAACAAGATTAAACAAGGATTAGTCACAACAAAACAGGAATCAACTTCATTGCACGAAAATTAGCAGTCAATACATTAAATTTAAATTGAAATTAAGAACCCCGGACACTGTCCACACAAAAGAAAGACACATGAAGGGACGGAGAAGGATTATGAGGAAGGAGGCTGATGGGAGAGAGACTTAATAACAAGAGTAAGCCTAGCATTTGCTTCATCAATATCTTTGATCAATGTCTCTTGTAGGGCATCATTCTGAGCCAGAAAAGCACAATTTTTCATTCTTAGCTCGTTGACCTCTGCAGTATCAGGTCCCTCGGACTGCGATTTGAGTAGCCGAGCCTTCAATAAGGCAATTTCCGCATTTTTGTTGCTCACACACACAATCATCTCCTCCAGTTCGTGTTTCAACTGATCTTGTTTCTATGCTGGTTTAGACAAAAGATAAACTTCCCCGAGAGTGATTAATGCAAGCACGTTAGAATTTGTTTTAAGGAATACCCTTTTATGCTGCCTCTAGCTCTCAAGTGTGGAAAGGAGAATTATGGTATGCTTTTACTAGAGGGGGAATATATGGAGGAAAATAAACAAATAGACTAAATTGATTCAACATCTACTATATATACAAAAAAAATATTTTTGACCTTATATATATAGTATTATTTTTTGACGATGAACCCAGTTACGGTACCCTGGCTCTGCCCTTGGCTTAAGTTGGTCCTCTAACCCCACAAAGGGAAAATGACAAGCATAGTCTACTTAAGATGAGGTGGAGCGGAATATTTTCGTTGTTCACGTGCTTTACATTCATTAGTTTGGTTCTGGATTATGCAAAAACAAGTTGTTGTTTTTTGCTTAATTTTCTTTTTTAAATTATTATTTTTAATTTTTCCTGATAGGTGTTTGTGATTAATTTCCTTTTGACTTGGATTCTTCAACAATTTCTCACGTGACGAAGTACAGGATGGACAGTACCTTCGGCCATCTGATCCAGCCTATGAGCAAGTACTGGATTCATTGGCTATGGTTGCACGCCACACACCTGTTCCTCTCCTGGAGGCCCTTCTAAGATGGAGAGAAAGGTGCACATTTTCAGTTACAATTTATCCTAATCATGGCACACGGTTTTCATTTTTGTGTTAAGTCAAAGTGTATTTTTCATCATTCCGCTGCCAATCAGATCTATTGCAGAAGCTACTGTGCGTTTTTCTATTTGAGAAACCTTATTGACAAATTCGAACAACAGTTGGTACTCTCCTTTCATGAGCTTCTTTTGAACCCCCGCACGGCGCATGTCGGGGAGTTTAGAGCATTCTTTCACGAACTGCTTGGTGCAAGACTTTCCCACTACGGACCTGATCCCCTCTCTGGGTACCTCCAGTATTTGCCCCAGCAACTCCTCATCTAGAAGGACATTTTTGTTACCCACCCAGGTGTCAAGACTTCCATTGTCTGCAAAGTCCACATTATAGTAGAATTCTCGAACTTTTTCCTTATGTAGGACAGGGGATTTGATCATGAACAGGTGAGTCCATGATTGAATTTCCACCAGATCAGCCAATGATTCCATGCCTGACTTCGTACATATTTCTGGGTCAAACACTCTTCCTCCAAGCACTTTCTGTAAGCGTAAGTTATCAATAATCGACTGTTTGCTGACTTCCTTTTCGTCCTTATTTTTTCTAATACCAGGTCCATGTTCAGAAGTCTTTAGAGGAACATGGGATGTTTCCCTTTTTCTCTTTGATGATTCTCTCTTCTTTTGCGTCTTATTCCCTTTTTTCTTAGGTGTAGAGTCACCCTTCTTGACTGAGGAAGTTCTGGGTTTCAACTTACCTGCCCTCCTTCCATGTTTTTCTTTTCCCTTTTGTGTAACATCATGGGGCATGTATGCATCTACAGCGTCATTCTTATAAATTTCGTTGGAGACATCCACCACATTATCGGTCAGTAGCGTAAGTCCCCCTTCTCCATGTCTTCTTTTCCTTCTATTTTCTGTTGTGGTAGTTTCACTTGATTTCATTGCATCACCCATGAGTTTTTGAGAGATTGCTCTAGTCAAGGGCCTTCTTTTTGGGGTTTCTTCTGTAACCTTTTCTTTTCCCTTCGTGGTGACGTGGACCATTCTCCTTTGCATGGACTACTTGAGAGGGACATTGTCCTCGTCAGTGTCACTAGAATTAGTAGATGGATAGACACCAACCTCAGGAGTTTGGTCAAAGAACGGTTCTGTATCTCCAATAATCCCCTCTACAAACCCACCACCTTCTTCATTTGCAAAGCTACTTCCTTCTTCATGTACTACTATTTCTCTCATCTTCGCCAGACTTTCGATAACAATGTTTTCACTGGCAGCAAGAATATTGGACTCAGATGACTTACTGTGGGGGAGATCACCATCAAACATGTGGTAAGATAACATGGCTGAGTAGGGACCAGGTTGTTGTGAGGGTGCTGGGTTATTGAGGTCAAAAGGAGACTAGGGTTAAGAGGATTGGCTTCTGCAATATTGTCCGAAGAGATGGTCGACATCTTCGATGGAGAGGGTACATCAGATGATGTATAGAAAGCCACTGGATCTATTTATTTCAAAGAGTCCAACATTTTTTTTTTGGAAGAGGAAGGTGATTGAGACATGTTAGAGAGAGATGAGGGGGGTCTTTTTTAGAGAGAGAGAGAGAAATTAGGACTTTTTGCAGAGAGCTTTGAGAGAAAGGGAGTTTGAAATATGAAGAGATGGAGTGGAAGGAAGATGTATAAAAAAATGAAACGATATTTCAGGTCCCTGAGTAGACGCGTCGCTTGGACTTAAAGTGATGGGACAACGGTCAAAATGGCCGATGATTCACACATGGAGATCTCAACGGTTCTCATTTAACAGTTTAAACAAAATGTAGAGAATGCTAACCTTTGGAAAGGACCAGGTCCCATTCTGCAGGTGAAGTTTGATTCCTGAATGGTTCTGACCATTTTTTGCTCTTATGATTTTCCATGAGTGTATACCTGCAACAGGTACATAGTTGATCTCATTTAAACAAAGCATTACCAGTAATGAGGATACTTGCCCTCCTGATCATAGCCAAAAGAGGATTGGATGCCTTTGGATAGGGTTAGGTCAATACATGTTTATTATTCCCAGCTTCAGCCTGTTACTCTCAAATTGATCCTTACTGAGGGCCTTTGTGAAAATGTCTGCAATTTGATCTTCAATTCTGCAGTACTAGATGCTGAAGTTCCCTTTTTCAACATTGTCTCTCAAGAAATGATGCCTGACATCAATGTGCTTTGTCATTTTGTGTTGAACTGGATTCTTTCCCATGTTGACTGCACTGATGTTATCACACATGAGAAGAATGGTATGAATGAGCACACCGAAATCCTCAAGTTGCTGCTTGATCCATAGTAGTTATGCACAACAAGATGCAGCAGCTACATATTCGGCCTCAGCCGTGGAGAGAGCCACTGAATTTTGTTTCGTGGTTCTCCAAGATATGAGTGAAGACCCAAGGAAATGTGTCATTCTGGAAGTGCTCTTTCTGTCTACATGATATCCTGCAAAATCAGCATCTGCATACCCTACCAGTTCAAATGAGTCCCCTGCTGGATAGAAAAGGACCAGGTCCCCAGCTAGTGGCCTCCCCTTTTCTTTTACCAGATTTCTCATTCATAATGTTTAATTGTTCCTTGAGTTCTGGATTTTCAGTCTCTAGAACTATCAATTGTTCTTCAATAACAGACATGTGGAGAGTCAAGATTGTTTTTTCTTCACTAAACTTATCGAGAGTGTTGTTCACAGAGTCTTTTCAGAAGTTAACTCTATAACAGAATCGATCAGGACATCAACTAGATTTCTCAACCTTCTAATAGAGTAAGTATTCAAGTTTTGTTTAAGGTCAAGAAGAGTTACCTTTTCTTCGTCTTCCTCGCTATCCGATTTTGCCATGAGGGCAAACATGCCATTTAACACATTCTCATCGTCTTTAACAACCATCATGGATGCATCATCCGGACATTCTGATTCTTCTAACTCACTTGATAAATCACCCCAAACAGCTAAAGCTTTTTTCACAACATAATCAGTTGCAGTTTTTCTTGCGTTCTTCTCGGGTACCAGGTCCCTTCTTTTATCTTTTTCACCTCGGGATCTTTGATACTCTTTGGTTTCATCTTTGAGCATCAGACAATCTCTTATGAAGTGTCCCTCCTTTCCACACCTGTGACATAAGTCACTTGCATTTGCAGCACGGGGAGGGTTCCCTTTTTTTTGAAAACCTCCATGCTTTCTCACAATTTTTTGAAATCTCTTGGTGAGATAAGCCATGTCTTTCTCTTCATTGGAGACGTCACCTGGTGAGATTTTGAGAGTTAGAGACTTATCTTTCCTTACCTCCTTCCTTGACATGTGATGTGAGGTCAAAATACATATTTTTAATCATTATTTGCCTCACATTTATTATGTATATTTGTCCTTTTCGAGCATGAATTTTATGAATTATGCTTAATAGTATATTTTATTTGTAGGATTAAATTGATGGAAAGTTGAAGAAGTTTGAAGCTAAAACGAATTAAATATGGAAGATTAAAGAAGAAAATCAAGCAGACAGCTTAATGGATTAAAGTGAATATTATATTAATATTACCCTTATTTAGAAGTGCCACTTAAAAAGGACCAACACTGCAGCTGCTTATTGTACTAAAGGCAGTGCTAATTGTACATTTAAAAGGACTAACACTGCATCTGCTGATTGCACTAAAGGCAGTAGTACTTGTACGTTTACAAATTTTACATTTACAGGACCAACACCCTCTCTCATTTTCCTTTCACTTTCTCTAGAAGCTTCTCCAATTTCTAACCCTAATTTGTCTCCCTCTCAACTCTTCTTTCGACTTCTCAACTCTTCAATGGCGAATGGACCTGTTCTTTACTGTTTTCTGTTTCTCTACATCTCTGCGAAGGTTTCCTGAAGATTTCAGTTTGTCTCCGACGACCTGCGCAGGTTCTTCGTCATGGTTTAAGGCAAATTTTAATGGCCACTCCTTCTCTTCTTTATTCTTTGCTGTTTCTCTAAACCCTTTAAATCTCTCTCTGAAGCTTGGCTGAAGATTTGTCTTTCTTTCCGGCGACCTGCGCAGGTACCCTAATTTCTCTCCCTCTCAACTCTTCTTTCTACTTCTGAACTCTTGAATGCCCAATCCATCTGTTCGTTTGTGTTTTCGGTTTGTCTAAGCCAACAAGATTGGGACTATCACAGCACTAAATAATTGTACAAAATGCAATTCAAATTGTACTATAGAGTTGGACGAACACTGCATTACAGAAGTCGACCAAAAGCTATTTAGATTGTACTATGATGAATTTAATATTTTATTGTTTGTCGCCCTATTTGATTGGCTATTACAATTCATGCATTTTTTTAGAGACACACATGTCTTTATTTGCTTATTCATCATACTTGGTACAAAATAAAGACCTTCCCTTTCTCTGCATCTTCCATCTCTTGAAAGTGTTAGCTCTGTTCATCTTTCATCTTCTGAAAGTGTTGCTGCAGTTTAAGGTACTTCTTATCCTTTGTTCTTCTTCTCTCTTCAATTTTTTTTGTGCTCAAATGATAAACTGAGAATGGCAGTTGGATTTTTGTTTCTAACCAAAGGAAAAAATCAAAATGGGTCATTTCTAAATAAGGGATAATACATGGCTGAAAATTTGAATTTTTCCATTCAAATTTCTTCTGAACAAATGGGTAAATCAAAATGAAAGTTCATATCTTCAATGTCTTTCCCAATTTTCGGTCGTGGGAAAAATCGAAATGGTATTTCTATTCATGCAATAGACAAATTCAGTTTCTTTGTTGATGTTGAATTTGTAGTTATGATATATATTTGATCGACGGATCTTTAATGTTGTTAGCGGTTCATTACTATTTTACTGTAAATGGGTGAGTAGTGGATGACTTTTCTCTGTCCTTTGTCTCCCTCGAATGTAGTCTATTGAAAATTTAAATTCTAATTTTTTATGGATTTACTGATTTCTGCGAAAATTTTCAACTTGCATGTTTCTATTTTTTCTAAAATTTCACCAAATAAGTATTCGATTTGATGAACCTTTTCGAGAAGCCATGTTATATGGCTGATTTCTACAATACTTCGTGCCGCTATTGTTGATAAACTTATTTTCCTAGCAGACATATGATCTAATAACAACAACTGAAACAGTAGATTGGACATGTCAAGTCCAAATTGTGGACATGAGTGGAGGAAGAGTAAGCCCAGAGAAAAAACTCAGATTCCAAAATCTAATTTTCGAAGACGAAGAGGTACTTACACCTATAATGATAACAGTTAACTTGTATGCAGATATAATTTAGTCTCATCAATATAGACATTAACATTTACAACACTTTACTGGAGCAACAAATTTAGGGAGTTATGTATGCTGCTGATATTGATAATTATGCTGACAAACTTAAACTCTTTTAACACATATCTGATTACCAGTGCAAGAGTTGAAGTTTCATCAACTTCATATGGAAGACCAATTCGCAAATTCTATTGGGTACTTGATGATGGAGAAACTATAATTGAACGTGTCAACCTTACTGACGAGCATGAAAAACCACTGCCACCACCGACCATACTGAAAGATCACATAGTTACTATGTTTTCTGCTCCAACTACAGAAATTGGTATATTACTCCTAATAACTACTACTACGCATAACATATATACAATTGCATACATGTGTACACATTCATTATATTTGATTACTTCTTACTTGCAGATATACTAGATGTCGTTCTTCATTGTGGCCCCTTAAAATATGCTGGCGCCTTCAAAATAAGTGTCGCGAGAATACTATTGTAACTGTAACTGGATCGAAAAGAGAGTGGACTGAGCATCTTTCCAATTTCAAAGATCTATCAAAGCCCATTTGAAATGAAGACCCCTGCTCTGCTTTCAAACTTTCCAACTGCCATAGATGCTCCATTGCTTTCAGGAAGAGACAATTTCTTCTCACTTTTATAGAAAGACTTTGGAAAAGTTGAAGGAGCGGAACTCCAAATTAAAATAGAAACGGCTGCAGAATTTCCTGTAATCCTTGCAAGAAGTATAAGAATATCTCTTTATCAGGATATGATTGCATTAAATAAAATTCATTAAATATTTATACTCAAAAGATAACATTATAGAAACATTGTCCTTATACAGGTTTATTGCTTCAGAGTACATTCAATTCAACGATTCACATAAACCCTACTAATCCACAGGCATTGGAGCTCATCAACTGGTATGAATTTTTTATTATAATATATTACGTGCACTTGAATAACATATTAAATACTTTATTTTGGTGTACGAATAGGACAAAAAGAAACAAAGACATGCTTCAAGCTTTGCATTGGAGAACTTCTCCGGGTCATCGACGTCTCTCACAATGGCTCCAGCTCAACAATAATTTATCACTATTGAGGAAATTTCATTTGAAACAATTGTAAGTTTTACAACTATTATAAATATATCTTACCGGAAGCTTTTACAAATATAAATATAGTCCTACTACATGTGTATTTCATTGTCCTGGACATAATGAAAATTTCCACGTAAAGGCAGAAATAAAAAATTTCAGATGAACTGCAGAAGTTTTGTGTGCTCGACTGTTCAGGATGTAAGCAGAAAAAGCACACAAAAGAAAAGAAAGTGTTCGAATGCACAACGTGTCATCGACAGACAACATTAGTGCCTCGGTATTATATTTTCCTCATATACATTTCATTACAACAGAATATATTATACATACATACGTACTAAACTAATCATAATTGCAGTTGTACCTTTCAAATTGACCTGATTGATGGTAGTGGATCGACATCAACCTTAATTTCCGAAGACTTGGCTGAAAAATTGCTTTCCATGACAGCTGCACACATATTTGAGACAACTTGCATCAAGGTTACCCTTTATTTAAATGCATTTGTATAGTTGTTTTTACTTTATTACTGAATTTATAATACAGAGTCTCTGCATTTTTTTGAGAATTAAAAGTTATCTGGTAGCATTTTCGTTGTTGGAAAAAGATAGAATGACATGTGCCATCTGATACTCTTGATTCATCAGTTGACTAAACTCTTTAAGCAATTTGAAGTTATCTGTTGAGGTTAGAAGCCAAATGTTCAACTTGCTAAGTTGAGGAAATTCTTTTAGTTGTTTGAAGTTATATGTTGAGGTTACAATCCAAATGTTCAATTTCGACTCCTATTGGGGCTTTTGCTTTGTCTTTACAAGTTTTGTTTTTTACAACAGAACAACTCCAGTGGCATCATAACTTTTACGCAAATTTAAGAATTGACTTTCCCATTTTCAGAAGCAACTCCTCCCCATTAACCATGTCCAAGACATGCTGTCAGAACTCTTTCGAGTTAAACTACGAAAGTCATCTTGGAGAAGCTCTAATGTCATGCCCACAACTCTATCTGTACTGTCTTGCACATAAAAGAAAATCATCTTTCCACCAATAGGTAATGAGAGAAGCATAAAAAAGGTCAAGCTCTAAGCACATGTGAGCTAGCATTGGAACCATCTAATGTTCTACCAGAATCTTCAACCTCGGGGTTGAAAATTGAACCATCCACGCCAGCAAATGCACTATAAAAGGTCAGTCTACTTAAAAACCTACAATTGAGCTTAGATGAGGCTTTTAAATACACGCTTGAGATATAAAGTAAGCTTAAGATATAATGTGACTTATTATATTCTCTGTTCATACATATTTACCCTCTGTATTGTCTGCTATTGCAGGAAGTATCTTCCTTACTTTTGTACTTTTTGGTGACTGCAAAGGAATTTTTTTGAAATTATCATCCGCTACAACTACGCTCAATAAGGAAGACCCATCATAGGGAACTAACAAAGATGTTTTCCAGTTTTTATGTCGCTTGCTTTAACCCAGGTTGGTAGTTCAAACTCTTTGATAATTCTGAAGACCTAACCAAGAGATATTATTGTATTACTTTTCTCTCTGCTTTCTCTGATTGTTCCATTTCTTCTCAAATTTATAATATTTTTAGTGTTGAAGCGGTTTCTATTCTTTTGTAAAGGCAGTAAGTCCATTGTCTGATGTTCTCTTAGATCCTGATGTGTGATTCTGTAATAATTCACTTTGCCTGTGTGTTGCTTCGTATTAAGTCCTTTTCGACCAATTTTTTTTTTTGATATGCAATTATTGCTTTTGTTGAAAGAATATTTGTCTACCAAGTATTCGAGAGTTTCACTATTTGCTTAAGATTACTGGTTTTTCGTCAATTTATAGTTGGTGGATTTATGATGAGCATCTCCTTCGATCAATTATCTGGCATGGTCCATTTCTCTTTTTAAAATTGATTTATTAACAACCTACAAAGCAAGAGCATGTTGTGTGGTTGCTATATTTTCTCTGTGACCTTCTCCAATCTTTAGCTAGATTAGATTCTATATGCATTAATTCTGACTTTTTGCCTCATTTGCTTATTGCAATATTGGGATGTCTAACTTGGAAAAAAGTGATATTTCGGAACTTCTCTACCACTGTGAACTCATTGACTCATACCTCTTCTTACATACTTGATTGGATCAACTATTTCAGCAGAATCAATAACTATCGTTTTCCGATATTCATTTTCTACACTTTCATTGTTGTTGTTTGTGGCCTTAACAAATTTTTCTTCTTTTCAAATCTCAATTTCAGTTCTTAGCCGCAGGGGTTGTTAATGACTTTCCATTGGTTAGGATTGTGTTGATCTTCGCTTATTTAGAAATGCCTCTTTGAAAACGTTGTGAAAAGAGAATCAAGTTAGGAAGTTATAGTTGAGTTGATACAGATTTCAATACTTTCGTCTTCGCATTCTGCAGGTTTTTATTGATCTTCTTTTTGCTTCTTTCGTAGACAGCTAGCTGACTATGAACACTTTGTATCAATTTTTGAGAGCTAATTTAACAGTGATAGCAGTAGAAATTATCAAAAATACATAGCTATCAATGACTGCCTGTATTTTCTGTTCTTATTTTACTCAGGATCATCATGAACTTTTTATTGGTTAATTTGCCCTATTTTGTATAACTGATTTGTTCAAATGTTTTAGGAAAATCTGAGAAACTAATCTAATAAATTTATTCAGGTTGGAGGAGGAATATTCGTGGAGAGACACCTATTTACTCAGATTGCAGTTACTATTTTAGTCGGTCATTGTTTCTGTTGTGAAAAAATTTATTTGAAATGAAAGACAACAACAACCAATTTTGAGCTATTGAGTCGAGAGTTCTACACAGTTATATGTTTCGGCGCACATTAAAAAGAACGAAAATTTACAATACCAAATTTTGATTACGTGTTTCAGCGGACATTAAAAAGAACAAACATTTACGATACCAAATTTTGAATTATACGGCGCCAAATTTACTCTTTCTATTACTGTCAATGACATATTGGGCCCGTGCAGTACTGCACGGGCTTCACCGTCTATACTTATATATATATTTTTTTTATTTTTATTTTACCCTTAATTAGAAGTGAGAGTTGAGATGTACCAACATGTTTGGCCTACTTTATTCAACCATGTGTTTGGCCTACTTTATTGTTACTCTTTTTATATCAATTTTTTCTGACAATTTTGGTTATATTTTTCTTTAAAATAATTATTGCCTCGATTTTTATTTTTATTTTTAACATTTTTTTTTATTTTAAAAGATTGGAAATTTTATGTTAAAAAATTAGATAATAGAAAAAATGATTTATTTAACTTTTATCATCATCAATACTACTAATTTATTTGACGTTTTTTCTTAATCTTCATCTCATCATTAATGTTATTTATATAATTTTCTTAAATCACTTATTTTTTCTTTTTTAACTCTTTTTTATATATAAAAGTTGGATATGTAAATGATGATGTGACATTTCTTAGAAGCTAAGATTACTATTTATCTACTTTTTCCAAATTTTTTTAAAAAATTGAAGATATCATACGCAAATTTATGGTCAAACTTAAATTATTTGATTCTCGAGAAATAAAAAGTGTCACATAAAATGGGACAGACGAAGGGATAACTCTCAATTAAATTTATTTCACTTTTTAATTTCCATTTTTTAACATAATTTTTTCAAGTTCGATTTCTAGGAATTCTATAGTAGACCCATTTAAATTTTACTTTTTTTAAAAAAATTAGAGAACTTGGCCGCACTTCGCGCGATCATTTAAATTAAATATTTTTGATTAATTTATATTTACTCTGTTGTTTAATCGTAATATTTTTATTTGTTTTAATAATATGAAGATTGTGAAAAAAATAAAGCTTCACAAATTTTACGTCTATTAAATGAGGAAGAATATATTTTTTATCAAATAAGTTTAAATATATTTGCTAATAACAAATTCTTCCATTGCATGAAGTTGATCCTTTAATATATAATATATGTTCCGGTGTACCATTCTCCTTAAATGTCTAAGAAATATCTCATAATGTCAAATAACACTGTAATACTCTCTCTGTCCCTAATTACTTGTCCACTTTTAAATTGACACATTTATTAAGAAATCAATTAATGACATAGTGAGCTTATCATTTTACCCCTATTAATTATGAAGTAGATGAAAAGTTCTGCAATTTTTCAAAGTAATTTGTCATTTAATTGAGGGTATAATAGATAAAAAAAATGTTCTTTCTTGATTTGTCAAAATGGACAAGTAATTAGAGACAACTATAAAAAGAAAAGTGAACAAGTAATTAGGGACAGAAGGAGTACTAAACAAATGCATCAGCAAATGAAATTTATATTCAAAATATATTGAATAATGACGTAATGATACCTTAATAGAATTTCTTATCCATTCAAAAAAAAAAAGTTTCACCCTTTCAATTTCATTGTATCTTCTTATTTAATAGAAGAATCATCATTTATTATATTCTACTTCACCTTAATTTGTACCATCAGAGTTTTAAGAATAGACATTAAATTTTAAATCGAAATAAAAAATCATTGAAAAATGGCAGAAAAAATAATAATAGTATATGAAAATTAAAATAAGGTGCAAGAAAAGCCTTTTCATGATCATTTTTTTAAATATATTGATAACAATTAAAATGAAGATGTTATTTTATCTTTAAAATTAAGTTTGATTGAATTGAATTAGTACAATGAGAAAAAATATAAACTAATAACTTTTTAATGTTATTAAATGCATTTTCTTTTTAATTGAGTAGTAGATTAAAAGTTCCGAATTAGGTTATTAAAATAATATCTTACTCTCTCCTTAATTATTATGGTATTGCAAACATTTATTTTCCTTAAATGGTGATTCATTTTCCATTTACAGTTATATCCAATTAATTTCTAACGTATTGAATGTGGTTATGGGATATTCAAATAATATCTTTATCTTTCCTTAATCATAATAAAATTATAATTTAACATTTATTTTTCTGAAATGATAAAAAAAAATTTATTCCTAGAACATATTGTTTACTATATTGAATGTAATTATAATAAAACATATTGTATTTAGTATGACAAAAGAACTCAAAAATTGGAGAAATTAGATAAATAGTAATCTTAGCTTCTAAGAAATGTCACATCATCATTTACATATCCAACTTTATATATATAAAAGAGTTAAAAAAGAAAAAATAAGTGATTAAACAAAATTATATAAATAACATTAATGATGAGATGAAGATTAAGAAAAAACGTCAAAAAAATTAGTAGTATTGATGATGATAAAAGTTAAATAAATCATTTTTTCTATTATTAAAATTTTTAACATAAAATTTCCAAACTTTTAAAATTAAAAATAAATGTTAAAAAAAAAATCGAGGCAATAATTATTTTAAAGAAAAATATAACCAAAATTGTCAAAAAAAATTAATAAAAATAAATAACTATCTATTAGTAAGAATGGTACTACATTTTCTATTTTAACTTCATTGTTACGTATGGATAGAAACTTTTACAAGAAGAAATGATCCAAAAAATTAAAAATAATTATTCCTTAAATAGTGATTCCTTTTCCATTTACAGCTTCTCAATTAATTTTTAATGTATTATATATGGTTATGGATATTGGAATAATAATTTTATCTTTCCTTAATCATAATAAATTATATTTTAACCTTTGTTTTTG